CAACACTACGCTCTTCTAATCATGAGTTTACCTACAGACACAGTATTAGGAATAATGGGACTGGCATGCATTATCCCAGCAATGGCAAGGAAGCAGGGGATGGGGGCAGGATGGGTGAAGAGGCAACCAGCAGCTAATGACAGACCCCTTAGGAGCTTTGTTCAGGGGGCAGACAGGGAGAATCTGTGTTTGGTACCATCTGTGGCTTTACTTTGGGCTTCCAAGATAGTCTGGATGAGTGGCTGGGGCTGCCATCTTAATCTCATTCCCTGGGTAATACATTATAGCTTTCTAAGAATCTTTTTAATGTCCAAGCAAACCGTATTTAGGACCCAGCAGGCCTGTTGAGATGGTGCCAATTCTAAGGTTAGGGTGGACCTGCCTTCTCAATCCTGTCTTCATTTTGGCCTTCGGGAAAGAGGCACGTGATGATTCTCTATTACAGACATTTGTAAGGAGCCAGGGCAAGTCACTCAAATGTCTAAGACTCAGTTTACCTACCTTATAAAAATGCTGTAATTATAATTGTCCCTTTTACTCACATTAAGAACAAATGTGATCAAATGGCCCCTAAGTAATATATTGTCAAACTGGTAGTAAAGTTAATGATCTAGTTGAGTCAAAAATCGACTAGACTCTGATTCACCCCTCTTAGAATCAGCATTAACAGAGGAGCAGTTCCCTGACACAGTGGGAGCCAAGTCCTTGGGCCTGAGCTGGGGTTTCGGATGTGGAGGATGTGGAAGCAGCTGACTTTCATCTGTCGGTGGCCCTCTCTTTTGAGCAAGACTTCAAGCCTCAGCTACCACCTGACCCAAACCTCCGGCCCCATCCATTACTCGACCAGTTACCTTGGCAAGGAGATGACTTTACTGTCTCTCTCATCCTTGTAAAATTATCGCATAGGCATGTGATCTAGATCTTTCTGTTTCTATTTGTACCTTTTTAGTATAAATTTTGAAAATACTTGATCCTTTCCCTAAAGAGTTTGCAGGTGGTAATAAGTCCAAACTAAGCAGTGTCCAGCGGGCTACGAGGGGGTCAAAGGGCTTGAGAAGAGGGCTTTCCTGGAGGAAAGTTATACCAAAAAAAAGTACTATTTTCCTGAGGAGCTAGACATGGCAGGGCACCAGCCACATTAGTGCCAAGCTGGCCCAGTTGGTTCTATTGGTTTGGGCCATACATGACACACAGTGGTGGATTTCAACTGTCCCCACTAAGCTCCAAGCCAATAAAGGGGCTGGGGGCCATGTGCAAACATTAGCTCCTGCCTTTGCCATTGGTACTTATGGCCAGTGGGCCCTGCCATAGGCAGGGGAGGTGGCAGGCAGGCCCACACGGGATATCCCAGCCAGGTTCCCTAGTGAATCAGAACCACCTGATGTAGACCAATCCATAATCCTTCTTGGTCTGGACCTGTTAAACGGCCAAGGCTCCCACTATGGGCAGTAGAGTCTCCAGTTCTTTCTGCAGTTGGCGGAGTGCAATGAAATACATGCAGCGCCCTCAGCTGGGGGAGACTGGCAGACTAAGATGAGCAACCGGACAAATGGCAGTGTTTGGCTCTGATGAGGATGTGCTCAGCAATGTTAGAGGGACAAGTATTTTTTCTTGTAATTGTTTTTCCATTGAGATTCATAAATGTATATATAAATTGAGAGTCACAGCTTAGTTGAGGGTTAAAAAGAGGAATCCTGAAACTCATGAAGGGAAGCCCTGGGGTGTGGGTGCCTGGATGCTCCCTAGGGTATACGGTGCTCTGGTTGCTGCGCCGCCACTATCTACTGTTTGCGGATCATGCCCTTGATAGCTGACTCCCGGTTGACGTACGTGGCCCAATAGACCAGATTGAAAATGGCAAAGAGCACAGGAAAGATGATGCGGGAAATTTTGTCAACCTTGCTGACGCTATTATAGGTCTTGGTCTCAGTCGGGATGTCCTGCACGTAGGTGGTCTTGGGCGAGGCGATGAGTGTCGGGGTGGAGGACGTGCTGGGAGCAGCGCCCTTGGAGATGGTGGAGAATTCGGTGTCCTTAGCCAGGTTGATGGGGTAGGTGGTCCCCACGATGTTGAAGGTGGTGCTGGTTTTCTTCGTTGGGGCTGCTGGTGTTTTCTTCTATGGGCCAGAAAAAGTAGGGGAGAAGGGGGAACAAAAGAAAAGCGAATTAATTCTTTACACAGAGTGCCTTCAGAGGCTGTGGGGAGGAGGAGGAGCCATGAGAGAAGTTAAGAAACGGGGGCCATGAAGCCAATAGCACTGAGCTGTCAGGTTTGTGTCTAGGGATAATTGGAGACAAGTTTGAAAATAGAAACTTTGCATTATCCTGCTTTACTAGCTATGTGGCTTTGGCCAAGTCACTTCTCCGTTTTGAGCTTTAGTTTCTTCATCTGTAAAATGAGGATCGAAATATTTGGCAGAGTTGTTGAGAGGATCAGATGAGAGAATACTGGTAGAAATCACTTGAAAACTGTAAAGTGTTGGTCACATGTAGGGTCCTACATAATCGTGTGATTTGATCCTCACAGTAACCCTATCGAGGTAGGTGGGTGACATTACTCCCATTTCACAGATGAGAAAAAGCCTCAGACTGAGTGGCAGAGCCCTCAACAGCCACCCGGGCTCCTGACTTTTATCCAGGACTGCACTGTGCTGCTTTCTAAAGGCACGAGACACTTTTTGGTTACCCGAGAAATAACTCCAAAAGGCTTCAACCATCAAGTGGCACATCTCCTGTGGGGAAGAAAGCTCCGTGAGTTGGAAAGTCATTTCGTCTCAAAGACACAATAAACACGATGGCACGTGTACATGCATCATTACGACAGTAGCTCACCCTTCATGCACTGTAAATGTGTTCAGCAG